AAAGGTGTTGGCAATGCTCCTGCAGCTCTGAAGCGAAGATTTGGGAGATTGTGAGATCTGGGAGAATCCGATGCGGACAGGGAATATGCACCACCACTCTACTCTACCAGAATCATACAATTTGGACTGTGCCGGCCAGCTAGTACCTGAATATCAAACGGGGACCATTTGGCGCCGGCCAGCACTGCACAAAACAGAATGGTATTGTATTGTATCTGACACCATCACAAAACAAAATGGCATGGTATTGTATTGTTGATGCCAGGGAGCTCTGAAATGAACATGTGATGATGGTAAGTTTGCTTTATCAAACGGAATGAAGAATGAGAATATCAATACTTATTCCGACTGATAAGAATGTATACGCATATGCTTTTTTAGATCGATGAAAAACAATATTCTTATGATATGTTCATGAATTTATTTAGATTAATAAAAATTATTTGTTTTATTTAGTGAAGCAGAGCAGAGAAGACTATGTATACTATGCTACTCGTGAATCTTGACGAGGTTTCTTTTTCGAACAAAGCAGAGGACTGAATGACTACAGGAGGCTGTAAAGGAAAACCTAAAAAACACTAAACCTTTTTCAAGAAGGGCAACTCTACTTAATTAACCATCAACCAAAGCCGGAATTGTGATTGGTACAGCAGATTGCAATTAAGCTGGAACTAATGGAGCAAACTGTGACATACTAACTAAGCAATCATCTTCAAAAGTACTCGAACAACGCAATCTAACATAATACTGCAATCATCTTCAAAAAAAAGAACCGCATCATCCACATGGGCCATCACATTCAACAAGTGGCAGCCTGTCTCACCTCCTCCAATTGACTGACATTAGCCATCTTTTACACCGTAGTAGAAACAAATGCAGCAGGCCTGCCTCCGCTCATGGGCTAGCCTGGGTATTTCCTTCCATGCCTTTGGTTCGGACGGTTCAACTAACGTTACTGCAGATATCACAAATGATGTCAGAACAAACTTGTGCAAACTAATGTAACATGAAAATGTATACCGCATGACATAGAGAAAATGGAGAACAAACTTGTACAGATGTGTTGACATGGTTAAAGATGACTGCATTTGTTGCTTAAATGTGACAGAGATAGAAATACACCTGTAGCTTCAAGATGGGCATCAAGACGTTTGTTGATGCTGTCCAGTTGCTGTTGCAGGTATATAGGGAGCTTCTTCATAGCTGGACATGGTTATAGGTGAATGTCGCATGCTTCAGCTCTTGGCAAACAATCAAGCTTCCTGTGCCGCCCAGTTACTCGTTCAGCAACACAGACCAGCTGGGTGACGCCTGGATAAAGCCACAGCTAACAATCTGCCCTGTTGCCGCGAATGTGATATCCCCTGGCCATAGAATCTGAAACTGAAATCCCTCCACGAACCAGAACCGCAACTGTCATCGTCCGGTCCGTGACAAACATAAATCTCCACGATGGTTGATAGCCTCAACACTGAAACAGTCATCGCTCCCAGCATCTACATGGACATAAAAAATATTAAATTAATTAATCTCAACACAAAGAGAGCCGGAATATGGACAAGCGTCGACGTCACTAGCAATGACACAAACAAGGAGAGCCCGTGCAGTCTGTCAAACGCGATGATATTGTGGCGTGTATAGGAAGGAGAATCATCAACCGTTGGAGGAGTAGTTAGTTAGACAAGATACTTTGTAATCTTTATCTCCTCTTATCTCTAGTTTTCTTCTTCTCCAAGATGTATCTCTCTCTCTCAACAACCTGTACGTGTATCTCGGCTCGCACCCCATCTATTTAACACGCAACATGTCGGCCAGGATAGGCAAGACGTTTACCGCAAGTCGCACATGGTATACAGAGCTATCTTCTTCCATTAAACCCTAGCTAGTCCATCTCCACCAAAGTGCGCAGCAGCCATGTCTTCCTCCGCCTCCTTCCAGCCGACGCTCAGCGGTGGAGTCCCGGAGAAGCTCTTCCGCACCAACTACGTTCTATGGCGAACACAGATCACGCCGCAGCTGCGGGGCGCAGGCGTCTTCCACTACGTCGATGGCACGGTGACCGAACCGGCCAAAGTCCTCACCACCAAGGACGCCGCCGGTAAGGAGACATCTAGGCCGAATCCTATCCATCCGATCTGGGTGAGGGAGGACCAACAGGTCCTTGGATACCTGCTCCAAAACCTCTCCAAGGAGGTGCTCGTCACGGTGACCACGATCACCACGGTGCACGAACTTTGGGTGGCACTGGTGAGCATGTTCTCGTCGTAGTCACTCAGCCGCGTCAACAACATCCGCACTGCGCTGATCAACGCGTAGAAGGGAAATCAATCGATGGCCTCCTTCTTCGCCGCCATGAGGGGTCTTGCCTAAACAAGACTTCGTACAAGACCTACAGCAACGAGTTGGACGCTTTGACGCATACACAGGTATATGAACTCGCTCAACACCTTTCTCTTTGATTCCACTTTTGACCGAGAGTGGGAACTTACCAATGTATATGTAACAGGTAAACTGGTGGTCGTATCATGACCGACAGTGGGGCTTTGATCTGAACGTGATGTGTGATGCGGACCGTGGTCTCTGGCAGTGCATCGTGCCCATGATCTGTGTGTACGCCGTCGAGTGGCACTTGCCACACCGCGTGGCCACGCAGTTTGGGATTTATCAGCATACCCCAACGGGCCAGCCCACTGATACCGGCGGCCACGCGCTCCACCTGTGAGCGCTTTGTTCTCCGTGCCCATGATTTCATTACGCTTATCATGTTTCTTGTTGCTTATGATGATCTCATTGCGCTTATGATGATTCTTGTTGCGTATGCCTTGCAGGATGAGCCGGCAGAAGAGTCAGTCGATCACAGACTGGGGAGAGGAGCATAAAACTCATGTGACAGAGTGGAACTGACGAAGGTTCCGTAAAGACGTGGAGAGGAAAGTTACTGACTCGGATGCTTACCTGATCCGACACATGAGGTGGTACGATGATGGCCAGAAGCACCGTCTTCGTCTCAGGCCTTGTTGGACGGCGGAAGACATCGCGGAGCTAGAGAGGGATGACCCCGAGGAAGAGGCCTATCAGACCGGCATCAGAGACATGCACGGTGGATTTAGGGAGTTTGCACCCCCTCATTAACAGAGTGGTAAGTTTGAACCGACGGTTGTATTTAAATTAGTTTATTCGTCATCGTGACTGACTTATACTGTTGCAGTCTAGTGAGCTGAACAGATGCATCTTTGAAGCCTCAGATGCACTAGGTGATCTCCCCGTGAGCATAGAATCTGAGAACAAAGTGAGGGGGACGATGAAGGTACAATTTCAGCCTCCTCGGAACAGATGCATGTTGTTCACTTGCAATCAGTCGATCTGATACTTATTATGCCCTTGTTTCATTGTGAGTGTAGAAGTTCGTGAAGCGTTGTCGCAAGCTGGTAGGGCTGCTTGGGTGTGCTGGAGCTGGGACAGTTGAAGCTTATCAGCCTGTAGCCGCACATGGTCTCATCGGCTCATCTAGGCATGCTCCCTCGTCGTCTAGGTTGGTTGGGGAGGAGGAGGAGGAGGCCACACATGAAGAAGGGGAGGAGGCCACACATGAAGAAGAAGAGGAGGAGGAGAGCAACGGGGAGGAGTATGATGAAGATTACGGACCTCCACCAACTCAAACATCTCAAGCATCTCAGCTGCCGAAGAGGAATCCAAAGAAGAAAGATTTGCTGAGTCCGGACCCTTTCCAGAGACCGGTTCCTCGCCGGCCCAAGAGGAAGACCGAAGAGACTCGTTCAAAGAGTAACGAGGACCGTACCTCCAAGAGGGGAAGGAGCAACTGATTATGCTCTTCGATACTTGGCTCTTTTAGTTTGGTTGAACTTCGTTTGGTTGAACTTGTCTAGTGGTTGTGAGACTACTAGACAAGTAGGGTGAACCTATCGCCAGGGCCATTGCATCTTTTCATTACAGAATGTCTGCACGGCAAAACCCTGTCACACCTTACCTCCAAGAGGGGCTGGCGGTAGGGTGAACCTACCGCCAGGGCCATTGCATCTTTCATTACAGAATGTCTGCACGGCAAAACCCTGCCACACCTTACCGCCAGAGCATCTGGCGGTAAGGTTATACAACCTATCGTCAGGGCCTCTGGCAGTAAGGTACTTATCCACGTCAGCACGCGGTGACGGCCGCCGTCCCCTCCATCATAACCTACCGTCAGGGGCACTGGCGGTAGGCTGTGTAACCCTACCGCCAGAGCGGTAGCAAAAGTGTCAAATCCCAAAAAAATTTCAAACCAGGATCAGATTCTGAAATTGTTTGTCAAAAGGCTTAAAAACACGAAATTGAGCCTCTTTGCATCAATGTATTGGGCTGCGTATTTTTGTCGTGCGGACCAAGTGGGTCGCGTCTGTCATTATCTCGTTCCCATCGAGAGATGCGAGCTGGCCGAGCTTTTACCACAAGTGGCAGCTTTTTGGCTTTCACCGTGGCTCTTTCCCAGCGAGCATCTTCCCACCTCTGTAGGCTGTAGTTACAGTGCTACTTCCCTCTTCTCCACGAGCACCGCTCCGCCTCCGCATCCGCGACGGCGGTTGAGACGAACCGCTGCGACTTCTCCGCGCCGCCACCTCCGCACTGCCCACCGCGGCTTCTAGTCCCGGCTTTGCTCGGAGATCTTCCGCGCCGCCGTGGCTTCCCTTCCAGATCTCCGACCCGCGTCATCGCTGATTTCCACGTCCCTGCTCCGTTCGGGGGACTCCAAGGTGGCAAGCCGTTAGCCGGCGAGATTGGGCGGTCAGTGCAGCAGCCTCCAAGCTCCAGGTGGGTCTCCAGTCGAAAGCTCGCGCAGTCCAATGATTTTAGTTAGTATTCTCTTTTACTCCCATTCAAGATTGTAGTTCCAATTTTTTTTACTCCCATTTAAGATTTCAGTTCCATTGTCTCGATTCAAGATTTGAGTTTAGTTTTGAATGGACCTGAAAGAAATGGATGCGTATGCAGGCCAGGCAATAGGCATGGCTGTTACAGAGATGGCAGTGAGCATCGGCACGGGAGCCATTAACTCTGTCATCAGCAAGCTAAATGACCTGCTCGGCGACGAGGTCAGCAGCCTGGTCGGGACAGCCCTGCTCGGCAAGAAAGTCAAGCTTGGCATCCAGTACCTGAGAAACGAGCTGAGCAGCATGAAAGCCGTGCTGCTCAGGCTCTCCGACGTGGAGGAGCACATGGACCCGCAGACCAGGGAGTGGAGGGACAGGGTGCGGGACATGTCGTTCGAGATCGAGGACTACATTGACCGCTTCATGCAGCGCCGCCGCGGCCATGGAGGCTCCCAGTCCCAGGGGGGTGACGGCCTCGTGAGCAAGGCCGTGAGGAAGATCAAGAGTGTGTGGGATGACTTCCAGACCGGGAAGGAGATCGATGAGCTCAAAGCCATGGTCGTCGAGGAGAGTGAGCGGCGCAATCGGTACAACATTGACCAGTGCCTCCCGCCGCCTCCACCCCATGTTCCCTTGGACCAAGCAGGGCTACGCACGCAGTACGAGGCGGTGCGAAATCCGGTGGGCATTGACGGCCCCCAGGAGAAAATATTTGGGTGGCTGATGGAGCAAGACGCGAAACCAAACGTGGTGGCCATCTTTGGGATTGGAGGCTCCGGCAAGACCACTCTGGCCTTGGAGGTGTACAACAAGATCCAAGAACAGTTTGATTGCCGGGCTTTCGTCTCTGTTTCTCGAACTCCCGACATCAAGAGGCTTTTAAAACATATCCTCTTTCAAGTCAATGAAGAAGAGTACAACAACTCAGAAATGTGGGATCTGGAGCAGCTGATACTCAAGCTCAGGGAACACTTGAAAGACAAGAGGTAATCATTCTTGATTTACTCTTTCTTCAAGTATTCTAATTCAGTCTCAAATAGTTTCATGAATGATAACAGGCAATCAATATTGATCGAGCCAGAACATCCTTACATTTTATTCCATGTAAGCAGATTAGAATTTAGTATTAACACAGAGTACTTATGAGTGTAGCTCTCGTCATTGCTACGATCACTACTCTCTTTTATACACAACATAAGGCGTATAAACTTTGAGGTTAAGCCAGCTTGCATTGCAAGTCAAGTGAGATCTTCCTTATTTATCTTTCTCTCTACCAAGCATTTATGTACAGCTACCCAAACAAACTATTCTAACAACAATGGGGATCATATTAATTTTGGGCCTTTCCTTGCGCAGCTTTCTCAATCTAACTACCGCCTTAATTGCTTTGCATAGTGAAAATATGCTCTGTATTTTGCATGGAATGGAGATCTAATGCATTCCCCAAACAAATGAATGCAGGTACCTGATTGTTGTTGATGATATTTGGAGCACATCGGCTTGGCAACATGTGAAATTTGCCTTACCTATTGATAATAACAAGCGAAGTAGAATAATTGCTACAACACGTAGTAAGAATGTGGCAACGTCATGCTGTGCTGACATGGACGGGCATATGTATGAAGCAAAGCTTCTAACTGTTGATGATTCCCGCAGTTTATTCTTTGGAAGAATCTTTCCTTCTGGGGAATGTTGTCCCCAAGAATTGCGGGAAGTAGCAGATGAAATTTTGAAGAAATGTGGTGGTTTGCCATTGGCCATTACAAAACAGTAAAACGTAGCGAGCTATACCTCTCCACAGCGATTAGACACTCCCACTCGTCCGATTCAGACATGCACGGCCTGGATCACCGGTGTCATCCATCCCTGACCCATTTTTACGGCGAGACAGCTACCAAAAGTAACCTGGGCCGCTACTCTGAAGAACGACTTCGGCGATTTCCTGTGAACTAGGCCAACACACTGTGGGCCAGGGTAACTACGTTCGCGAACGCAGCCCAGCGCCGTGGCCTCCTAACCCCCTCCTGTTTTTTCTCCATCGACGACGTCTCCTCTCCCCTCGCCGCGATGGAAGCCTCCTCTCTTCCCCTCGCCAAGGGTTCCGCCTGCACCTGCTAGCTGCAGCATGTGACGGTGGAGAGAAGATCATCGGCAAGGGAGGTAACCGGTTGAGACTGAGTTTAAGGTAGGCATTCTTTCTCCGCTCTGTTCTCAACTCCATGAATCTCCTCCTGAAGTCCACTACTCCACTCCCAGATCTCACAACCACAATTCTCGATCTGTCAACTTGCTTATATTTATGATTTGGTAACAAGTTGCGGTGGTGATTGCTTAACTTTCCCTTGATTTTGTTTGCTTTTGTTTCTACACTGTTAGGTTATGAAGGTTACAATTACGTACAGATCTTAACAAGGACTTATCCTTGGGATGCAGAGAATGAAGTTATATTGGTCTTAATTAATTAAAAAACAGCTCTGAAGGGTTAGCCCATAGATTGAGACCACCGAGTTATGGTGGAGTTGGTTTCTACTTTCTGTTGGTACTGTAAGGGAGATCGATCCCCCGTAAATCTGCAATTTTTTCGTATTTGAGAGATGGTGTCGGCTGTGAGCTGATGCCGATTTTGCTTCTATCATGCATAGTTAAAACTTAACTGCTCACAAATGTTCAGCTGATGCAGATGATGCACGGGTATTGCACTAAATTTGTTAACATTATAAACTGAACTATTGATTCGGTAACTCTACTTTTGGTTTAACGGATCTATAGAGAATTCATGCAATAGACATCTAAAGTTGAAACTTGGAGATCATCTTATATCCTCATGTTCACCTCTCAGTTCCCACCTTTTTTTGTGTCTCATTCATTCATCGAAGATAAGTTCAGTTGCATTTGCTCAAGCTAGCTGCAAAATTTATGTGTCTTAGATGAAATAATTGGTATGAAGAATGTATGTCGTACCCAAATGAGTTAACATGCTTCTCATTCTTGTCAGTATGAAGATCATGCATGGCTAGGATACTTCAGACCAAGCATATGAGTTGGGGTTGGGATGTACTACTATGGATGGCTATATTTTTCAGAGTAGATCAGTGAACTCAATAAGATGTGGGATAAGTGGCATGACCAAATGCCAGTGACAATATATGACTCTTCACCACTTGGATACTGCCAGCATATCACAATGAGCAAGGAGGAAACAATACTTGGATGTTCCTTGCAATATTGTTTTACCATGCGAAGGTACATTCCAGCCCAACCAATTACTGTTATCTGAAATTGTGTTGGGAGCAGCAAGCTAAAGATTTCCAAACGATGCAAACATGTTTAGATCAACTATATGGACCGGTTCATGCAAATTTAACCTATGCTTTGCATTGTGACTATATAGACCGGATCATGTAAATTAAGATAATTCTACCACCAAAATTAATGGGCGCAGCAACGCGCGCCATCATGGTCTAGTAATCAGTATAGGAAGTTTATTAGCCAGCAAAAGTAGAACAGTCGAAGTCTGGTCGAAAATACGGAAGTCTGTTTCTTCTGCAGTCGAGAAAGATTGTCCACTTGACCAAATGAAGAGAATATTGCTGCTTAGTTATCTTGACCTTCCACACCATTTAAAGGCTTGTTTTTTATATCTGAGTGTCTTCCCGGAGGGTTACTACATTGACAGCAGATTTTTGATATGGAATTGGATGGCTGAAGGCTTAATCGGTGGGGAAAACAGAGGAGATATGGAGAGGCTTGGAGAAAGCTATTTGAATGAGCTTATCAATAGAAGCATGATTCAAGCAAGAAAGATTGGGGCAGATGGCACAAGAGTGAAAATCTGCGGAGTCCATGATATTGTATTGGATTTTATTACATCTCAAGCTGCGGAAGACAAATTTGTCACTGTGTTGATGGATGGTAAATACCCTTCATGGAAGATTCGCTGGTTATCCCTCCACTTGAACTCTTCTGAAGCTGCAGATTTGCCAATAAAGGATGCATCGCATCTTCGGTCACTTAATATATTTGGACCTAGAGGTAAGCAACTGCCTCAAAATTGTGAAGCTTTGCGAGTGCTGAATATAGAAGGCGTTGTGAAATCTAAGAACTGTCACATTGAACACATTGGAAGTTTCTATCAACTGAAGTACCTGAGGATCATTGGTTACCAGATCACAAGTCCCGACACAACCATAACCGAGCTTCCGGAACAAATTGGCAATCTGCAACATCTAGAGGTATTAGATCTTAGAGGTTATAGAATTCTGAAACTACCAGCAACTATTGTTCAATTAAAGAAACTAGTGTGCCTTTTCCTGGATGAAATTTTTACTCCGCTGCCTGATGGAATTGGGAATCTGCAATGCCTGGAGGAGCTATCAGGGATCAATCTCTGTAATGCATCTGTAAGGTCTGTTCAAGGGCTCGGGGAGCTGACCAAACTAAGGGCGCTGAAGATTAAATGGATTTTAGGTTTTGATAGGGTTCTCGATGAGGAAGATCACATGAGAGTGTGTGCCTCAACTCTGTCCAAGCTCGTTGCAAACAGCCTCCGTTCGCTGCACTTCACTGGGATCAAAAGCTCTGATTTCTTAAATTCGTGGGTGTTTCCGAGTGGCTCCTCTCCTCCACCTCTCCGGAGGCTCTTCCTGGAGGGGGTTGGAAATTTTGATTTCCCCTCTGTACCAAGGCAGATCAGATCCCTCATCAACCTCACCCGCCTTAGCATCAGGTACGTTCGTGAAATGGGAGAGGAAAGTGTCAATATCCTCGCCAGTCTACCCATGCTGCTCTCTCTTACAATTCTGCTGCTCTATACCCAACGCCAGAGTTGTGTCATCAGCAGCCAAGGATTCCAGCGTTTAGTGAAGCTGAACTTCCACGGCGAGACGTGCTTGATGTTCGAGCCGGGAGCCATGCCAAAGCTCCAGAGGTTGAAACTGGTTGTGTTCCGATGGCCTGAGCAGTACAACCCTGGATTGCTCCACCTCTCAAGCCTCAAGCATGTCAGTATCTGGAACTGGAGGCGGGATCGTGGTGTGGAGGATTTGATGGATGAAATCAGAAGCGTCCATCCCAACCATCCAATACTGGACAGGAGGGTCTGAAGAGGCAATGTGCAGCAGCTAACCAACCTGCAGCTACTCCACCATACTAGACACATCGACCCTCCTTGTTAGTATCACTTTAATTTATGATTCCGTGTGTTGTAATTCTACTCATTTAATCGCTTTAATCCGATTGCTATGATGTACTCCCTTTTTAAACTAATATAAGAAACGTCTTATATTAGCTTGCAGAGGTTGTACATAATACTGTAGTCAGAAAGAGAACAGCTTACAGAACGAACAGAACAGCTTACAGACCAATGTTAACTAGCAGCTAATACAGGCATAGCAGAGAAATAAGGCTCTCGAGTGGCCATGGTCACCGGCGATATGTAGAGTGGTCGTCCCCGGCGGCAGCTTCCAACGTTGTGCCTGACAAAGCTCGGGAGCGAACAGCCAATACTGACAACAGTATAGTATAAAAGCAGAAGACCCACTGAATAGAATTTCTGGCAACGAATACACCTCCCCTTACAAGCAGCTAGAATTGCCGGCCGCGTACCATCTCCGACGACTGCAGTGCTGAATGTTCAGTCCCAGTTTAAATAAGTTGCTGAACAGGTTCAAGTGCCGAGGTCTGAACACACGAAGGGGGTCACTGTGTGGTGGCTTGGAGTCAGGTTTGTCGATCAACCAATTTAGTCAGGACATATATAGGAGGCGTCGGACGGCTGATTGGTGACCAGGCGCCTGAGACAATTTGTTCAATCTGGTTATTCAGTGTCTGTTCATGAAAAAAAAATAGCAGGTCTGCCTGTTGCATCACTCAAATGTAAACTAAGTCAGCTATACAACATTAAAGCTCTGAAACAACTAGGGCGCTGCTAAAATAGCTCATGGAAAAAATAGATCACAAGTCTATACCAGCCAACCAGAACACTCCCAGGCGGTCATGCCAAAACGCTTCCTTTCTGTGGCCTCCGTCTCCTGATCACACGGGCACCTGCACACCAGTTCATTGACATTAACCAAAAGTAAGTCAATCAATAAGTTCCTCAACTCGACTCAAAATATTAATAACAATAAGTTCCTCAACTTGCACCACAAATAGGAGCTGGAAAATGTCAGATAATCTGACCACCGCAACAGCTTAGCAATATCACAACCCAACAACAACCTAGGCTACTAGATCCTGCTTCAGAGCAGAGCAAGCGCGTAATTTGAAGCAGATAAAATCACAACCAAAGAAAACCATGAAGTACTGGTTTAGTTTCTCCACAATCAGAAAGTCCTCCCTGTCAGACAAGGAGATGAAGGAACAAGTGTCTCAACGAGTTACAGGCCAATGTCTCAACTAAGTAACGACACTCAAACTAGATATATATATATAGCTCACAAAGTAAGTATCCCAACTTCTACTAAACCTGGCAAATGTTGAAGGAGATGAATTAATCCACATTACAAGTATCTGGAGAAGATAAAGGGCATTGTTCAGCCAAGCCGAATGGTTACAATCATGACATAACCTAGTACATTATTTGAAGCAAAAAAAAAAATCGATGCCCTTTCATGTAATTCTCGTCCTATTTACTCCTGCATGGATTGCTTGAGTTCCCTAGCTTCTCGAGCAGCCTTTCTCCGCTCATGGACTAGCCTTGGAATTTCCTTCCATGTCTTTGGTTCAAGTGCTATCACTGTATACATGACAAATGATGTCAGAACAAACACGTACAAACTACTGTAACATGGAAATTTATACCACATAGCAACAAAATAATGGAGAGCAAACGTCTACAAACCTATTGGCATGATACATGGGATGGGATGGATGACTGCATTTGTTGGCTAAATGTGGCAAAGAAAGATAGAAAAACGTGCATACCTTCATAATAGGCATCCAGTTCTTTGTCATGGATGTCCATGCTGCCCAGTTGCTGCTGCAGGCATCTAGGGAGCTTCTTTATAGCTGGACAGCCTTTAATTTCAAGATATTGCAGAGACATGTATGCTTGCGGTTCATTCGGTAGGGATGCCAAGGTTCTGCATCTTCTAGGCAAAAGGCACAAATTTGACCTCAGGTCGAAACTATTTCACAAACTAAACTGTTCTTTAAAGTATTTCACCCGGCTGACCTTTAATGTGCAGCACCTGACATTAAGACGCTGCACTCTACTGTGCAACGCCTAACACTTAGGCGCCACACTGTGCAGCACCTAGCTCTAAGGAGTTGCACTACACTGTGCAGCGCCTAGCTGTAAGGAGTTGCACAGTAGAATGCAGCGCCTTGTTGTCGGGCGCTGCACAAAAGGGTCAGCAGTGTGAAATATTTTCTAGAACAGTTTAGTTTGTGAAATACTTTCGTTTTAAGGTTAGATTTGCTAATTTTGCCCATCTTCTAAGCCAAAGTTTTTCCAACGATGGGAAGTGTTGTGCCGACTGAGCCTCCAGTGATGTCAGCCCATTGTTGTCCTTAATGTTCAGTGACTTGAGGGAAGTGGGCAGACAGAGGACACCCCCCAACATGCTATGACAGGACAATATAGTTAGAGATTGGAGACAAGGAGGAAGTGAATGCTCTCGTGCTGCTGCTGATGGCTCTGGTACATTTATGGAAGTAGTGACTTGTGGTTTTGGAAGCCCACCCAGCTGACATGTCAGGACCTGAATACTACTGCACCAAGAAATAAATATGGTCTTTAAGGACGGAGGAAGATGTAGAACCGCTGGTAAACTTCCACATCCAAGTAACTCTAGAATTTCTAGGCATGGACAAAAGTGATTCATGGGTGAGGATGACAACTCTGATACAGTTGTGGGCACGGCTGGCTCACTGCAAGAAGACCCTTGAATTGACTCTGATATGCCCTGCTGCCTGCCGAATATGGACTCAAGCTTACGGCAACAAGCAATATCCATTTCCTTGAGAGATGCCGGGAGGTTGAACATCTCTACCAAACTTGCACAATCATTTAACCGAACAGACTCCAGACGTGGCAGGTGTTGACTCCTTTCAAATGGTGATGGCTCAAGAGGAGCTTGTGCGTATCCAGTGAGATTTTTGCACTCTCTAATCTCTAAACTTCTCAAGGATACCAAGCTTAGGAACACTTTCTCTGGCTAGTGGACGAGCACATCGCATCTAACAATTTCCAACTCTTCAATGTGTACAAAATAGTACCATGGCTCTAGTGCACCTGATCCAAAGAATGAGTTACAGCATCTTAACTCCACAACTGTAAGTGGGGATTTCTTGTTCCATTTCTCCTTGTCCACAGGTACAATTGAAGTGCACTCAGCCTCTGATGTTATTTCTGTGTTTTCTAGTTTCAGTATCAGTTTGGTCAGCGAAGACAAATATCTATCTACAAAATGGAAGATCTCTTGCTTGCCATCTTCAATTTCTAATACACTGAGTTTTTGTGCTTCAGGTAAATCTATCAGCTTTGGGCATTTCTTAATTGATAGTTTCTCAAGCCGAGGAAACAATATCTCTTCTCCTTGAGTCCCTTCAAATGCATCCCATCTCTGAAAGCTCTCCCAATTTTCCAATTTGAGTACCTTTAGGGCAGGAAATGGTGAGCGTACCAATCTATAGTCTCCACTACATGGTTCTTGAAGCAACTGTGCTTCAGGTAACGCAATCAGCTTTCTAGATTTCCTGATAAACAACTGTTGTGCTTCCGGCAATGCTGCCAACTTTCCACAGTGCCTAATAAACAACTTCTTAAGTAGAGGAAATATTATCTTTTCTTCTTCCCACTCCTTAATTTCCCACCATCTCTCTAAATCCAACAAGTGTTCTAGCGTAAGCTCCTTCAGTTTTGGAAAAGTGAAGGACCTACCGCGTTTGAACAAAAGTTGCAGTCTTTCACAATGAAAGAGATGGATTGCAACCATGTTTTGTAACATACCCATGCACTCTCTGTTGGGAAACGTAGTAATTTCAAAAAAATTCCTACGCACACGCAAGATCATGGTGATGCATAGCAACGAGAGGAGAGAGTGTGATCTACGTACCCTTGTACATCGACAACGGAAGCGTTAACTTGGTTGATGTAGTCGTACGTCTTCACGGCCCGACCGATCAAGCAACGAAACTACGGCACCTCCGAGTTCTAGCACACGTTCAGCTCGATGACGATCCCCGGACTCCGATCCAGCAAACTGTCGGGGAAGAGTTCCGTCAGCACGACGGCGTGGTGACGATCTTGATGTACTACTGTCGTAGGGCTTCGCCTAAGCACTGCTACAATATTATCGAGAACTATGGTGGAAGGGGGCACCGCACACGGCTAAGAATATGATCACGTGGATCAACTTGTGTTCTTAGGGGTGCCCCTTGCCTCCGTATATAAAGGTTCAAAGGGGGGCCGGCCGGCCAAGAGGAGGTGCGCCAGGAGGAGTCCTACTCCTTCCGGGAGTAGGACTCCCCCCCTTTCCTAGTTGGAATAGGATTCGTGGAGGGGGGGGGGAAGAGGAGAGAGAGGAGGAAGGGGGGCCGGCCCCCTTTCCTTGTCCTATTCGGACCAAGGGGGGAGGGGCGCGCGGCCCATCTCTGGCCACCTCTCCTCTCTTCCACTAAGACCCACTAAGGCCCATATACCTCCCGGTAATCCGGTAAAATCCCGATTTCACCCGGAACACTTCCGATATCCAAACATAGGCTTCCAATATATCAATCTTTATGTCTCGACCATTTCGAGACTCCTCGTCATGTCCGTGATCACATCTGGGACTCCGAACAACCTTCGGTACATCAAAACGCATAAACTCATAATATAACTGTCATCGAAACCTTAAGCGTGCGGACCCTACGGGTTCGAGAACAATGTAGACATGACCGAGACACGTCTCCGGTCAATAACCAATAGCGGGACTTGGATGCCCATATTGGTTCCTACATATTCTACGAAGATCTTTTATCGGTCAGACCGCATAACAACATACGTTGTTCCCTTTGTCATCGGTATGTTACTTGCCCGAGATTCGATCGTCGGTATCCTATACCTAGTTCAATCTCGTTACCGGCAAGTCTCTTTACTCATTCTGTAATACATCAT